CTTGATTTTAAATTAAGCAACACACAAATAAACACGATCAATCATTTTAATGCGGTATAATACTCTGTGAGGCCCGTTCTTCCTTTTCAGCAGGGGGCGCAAGAGTGCTTGATCTATCTATCTAGCTATCTTACTGTCTATCTATCCATGGTCACGTACATAAATACATTCTTAAACTGAAAAATGTGACAAAAGAAACAGTTAGACCTTTTCCTTTACAAAACAGCATAATCATACCTTAGTAATAGTTTAAAGTTCAATCAAAGCACTTTAAAATACCCAGCACAGGACCAAAGTGCTGTACAGTAATTCAGTTAAAAACAATACAATAAAACAAAACAGAGAAAATAAAACACATAATACATAAAAATTAAAACAGCCTTATATTTAAAAAAAACAAAACAAAATAAAACAGCATAGAATCAACTAAAACAAAAAACCAAGGTGTCAAAGGCCAGGGTGAAGAGATGGGTTTTCAGAAGTGATTAAAAAACAGGCAGAGAATAGGTCTGTCTAATCTCTAAAAACAGATCGTTCCACAGTTTTGGAGCTGCTACAGCAAAAGCACAATCTCATAATGCGTGCTTCATTCACCTGTTCACTGTTGTTGCTGGAGATTTTAATTCCTTAGGTTGGATATCAATATTTCTAGAGTATGATATAAATACTAGTAAACAGTAAATAAAGCATTAACACGAATAGTGCAAAATATTATCATCCAATAGGTAAAATAAGGCAAGGTAAGTCAATTTATAGTGGAGAAGAAGTAAAAATAATAAAGAGGTACTTAAAGTACAAGTACATTAAAACAGTACTCCAGTAAAGTATTTGAGTTCAACTTCTTCTTTTGGCTGCTGACTTTAAGCGGGCCAAGTTCATCACCTACTTCCATCCGAGTAACCAATATAGTATGAAATTGTTCTGATTCGCACAAATATTTAGCAGCAAATCATGTTATATTCCCTTTATGAAGGAACTCTCCCCATTTATACCCACATATTGAGTTCGCTGGCGTGTACACCTCTGGATTATTTTCCTTGATGCCACTAATTTACCCTATGGCATTCGTGGAGGGCCAGTCATATTTCAGTGGTGGTCAGTACCGCCTCATACCCCTTCTTCTGGACTCACCTCTCACCACACATTCAAACGATGTGAATTAATGTGATGATAAATCAGCACCAAACAATTGTATCAGTGCCAGCATATGAGGAGGGTCGTAATGTGATTGATACTGATGTTAATGCCAGAGGAGGTTTATGTATCTGTAGTTACTGAGACAGCGGAGCGTTGGAGACTTGTGCGCACTTTGCGCCTGAGCATTTGGCAACTCCGTAACTTTACGCGCTCTTCCCCTTCATTTCAAGTTACAATAATATCACTTACAGATGATTGTGGAATATCTAGGAGGGAATAAATTTTACAAATACACTTGTTGCATCGGGGATATCATATTATAATTCAGTACCGCGCTGGGATTCAGCGAGGTCTTTGGAACAATCCAGGAACTTTCGCAAACGCAGACTGCATGTGCTTGATTTTATACAGCTGTGGCACGGGGACTGAAAACACCTCAATTCAAATAATAAGTGGTGTACTCCAATACTTTTGTCCTTGTATATTTAAAGATTCATACTAAACAGGGAAGTGTGAGCATAACTAGAGGTGACAGTTTGTACTTACAAAATAACAATTTATGCCAACCCAATTGAATGTATGAGTTATGGTTTAAACTGCTTGCTTGAAGTGTTTGCTGCGTTGGAATTTTTAGTGATTAGACATGCACTAATAATTTGTTTCACATGTCTTGTCCTTTGGCAAAACAGACAAATGCAATAAAACAAAAAGTTGTAAAACAAGTTAGACCCAAATAAGGGAAGAAGAATATAACAAAAGCATTAGCAAAAACACATATTGGCACGTTTTTGATTTATATAAGCCTGAAAATATGCTCTAATTTCCCCACTGATCGTGAAGGACAATCCCCTTCACCTGGTTCCCACGGTGAAGCAGATATTCTCGATAAAACAAGGTGAAATTTCGCTGACTGGTTCGTATGAATGAGCGTCACTGTAGGCCAAAGAGTCACGAAGCCACTTTTTTTTTTCTCCGTGTAAGAACTTCCCTTTTATGGCACAATCACAACTAGAAGTAACTGTGAAATGTGACTCCATTCAAAAGCTTTAATGTACACTTACAACCACCACACTGGAGAGAGTGCGTAAATGTAAACATTTTTGTTTGTTTGTTTGTTTTTTAATCATCATAAATTGCGGAAATTTCATCCATGCAACGTGCATTTAAATAAGGACATATAAGTAAAATGTTTAGGCTTTAAAAACATTTATATGTATACTCACAGTAAAATACCTATAACACTAACGTTTCTATACTTTTTTTAATGTTTTTTTTTTTTACACTTTACTATTCTATAATTGTGCTTTATGGGGATATTTAGCACATTGTGGATTATACTGTTAGTATTTCATTATCCATATTGTTATGGATATTATGCTTGAACAGACGGAGGTGAAGGCCAAACTGGAGAAAGATAGAAGAAAACGGAGGAATATAAGAAGAAAACGACAGAAAAAGAGAGAAAAGAAGGGGTTAGGAGGAAAAGTCGAGGATAAAGCAAACAGACATGCTGGATCACAAACAAATATACGATTTTGCAGTGTGTGTGCTTGTACGTTTAGATATCTTTGTAAGGACAGAAAATTGGCATGCTGCTATACTTGTGGGGACCAACAGTCACTTGTAGGGACAAAGTGCCCATCCCCACGAGTTTGAAGGCATTTTTGAGGTTTAAAATGTGGTTTTAGTGTCAGGGTTGCAATTAGGTTATGGTTAAGTTTAGGCTAAAGGTTGCAGTTAAGCATTCATTTTTGTTTGTTAGGGTTAGGGTAAGCAGCTAGGGAAAGCATTATGTCACAATT